TTCTACTAACTACCACATCGGCGCATTGAACACAGAAACGAGAAATTGAAATTTGGAAGCCAAAACGTCGTGGAAGCAGTCACACATACATACAAAGGCTCACATTTTTGTTGAGGGATATATGTAAAGAGTTCTAAAAATAGAATCGTATGCATGTGTGTTCCCCCCTCACCAACAAGCTCGAAAAAAAAAGTTGACCGTTTTGGGCCCTGAGGTCCCATCTATGTACTTTATAATCTTTGCTATAATTTTGTAAATAGATCGAATATTTAAATATCCTTTTGCAATTGAATTTATCCTTCTACACAAATTACTGATTACATTTAAAGAAAAACAAATTTTTAAATATAAAATAAAAAAAAGATACATTTGTTTAACACAGCCCTTTTATAATTACATAATAAGTAATATTCTGTCATACATATTAAGTAATAATATTATGTTATATAAGTTACATAACTACTTGTCAATCTCGTGACACATTTTGTTAGTATATTGAACATATAGCAAGTTGTGAAATATTATATTTTTCCATTATATATAGTATTGAAAAAATATTGAAATCCTACATTTGGTGTCGAATCAATATGGGATCAATACTATATATAATGGATAAATATAAAATTTCACAAGCTGCTAAATGTTCAATTTACTAACAAATACTGCAAATACTCAATACTCTTGATATATGTTCACTTCAGAAAGGGTGTTTGGTTTTGATCAAATGTGTGCAAAGCTGTGAAGGGGACATATTCGACTCTATAACGTGCATATACTCATGAATATGAGCACTCCTTTAGTCGATATAAGCAGGTGCGTCTGTTCCTCTATTAATTTCTACGCAAACTAGTCTTTTAATTTTGCACATCATTATTTTTTTGCACGTAGTATATAACTGGCCTTCCCCAGTTGATTGAATATGTCGTATTTTTATCTTATATATGAAATTTCAGAGGGGGCGGCCGACTGTAACTGCCATATCACTGAACAATCAGTAATTACCACTGGTTGCGCTAGCTGATGCTTTTACCGCGGAAAACATCTTGCCGCAGTAAAAGAATGGACCACTAAGAGAAAACACCGCTACCGCTACACCGACTCGTCTCCTTCATGAATGCAGAAGTCCATACTCTCGCTTGGGTCCTACAAGGGACGTCACACCAGCTTAGCGCAACGAGCTTGGCGGCCTCGTATACCTCGCCGAGTTCCGCCGAGTTCCGAGATTGATTATCGAACATGGCAGGATGTTGTACAACGCACCTTCTAAGTCTAAAAAAGCAATAAATGCGTATTGCTTGTCGCTAAGAGCCTTTTCGACGAACGTAGTGATCTCGTGGAGTGCCGTCTCCATGAATCGGCCCTTCCTATACGCATACTGTGATCCCAAAATATCATCCCGAATAACAGGATTATAGGTCTGAAGTCCTTAGGGGTGCAGTGCAATGGTTTTCCTGCTTTGTGTATAAACACAACCCAAAACCAAGTCGCGGGCACGATGCCTATTCTGAAAATTGCTGAGAAAGCTTTCCTAATCCATGGCATCAGATTGGATCCGGCGTTGATTAGTTTTGCCGGGAAAATGCCACCTGGGCCGGGGGATTTGAAGGGCTTGAAGATGTTTATCGTTGAGATACGATTTATCGCTGATCCCCAGTTAAGATACCTTTACTCGATAGGTATTTGAGTTTGATTTGGAGGGAGGGGCTGTCCCCCTGTATCTGCGAATCCGGGGTTGTTTTTTCCTGAGAACATCCTGGGAAATGTGCATTTGTGAGAGCCTCTAGGGTATCTTTAATGGACAGTTACCAACCGAAATTTTAATGTATTCTACATTTGGTGCCGTTTTTACGAGGATCTTCCTGAGTCGGGAGGCCGATAACTGCTGAATTTTCGTGCAGAACTTGGTCCAGGCTCTTTACCCTACGCAGTTCTTTGTTGTACTGTTTAGGTGCGCTTTGTACGCTTCTCAGGCTACCTCTGTGTTTGCCTTACTTTACTTTAAAGGTTTGGCTTTACTTTAAAGGAAAACACAAGCTTAAAGGCCCTTTTACTTGCTTTTCTAGGATTGCGTCCTGTTAGTCGAGAGACGTTCTCGAAATTTATCACTAATTCTATCCATAGATGGTCCGAAAAAGAGTGCTTCTTTGGACTCCCCATCCTATCACAAGAACAATCCTATCTGCTAGGGAGTCGGAGTAGAGAGTAATGTCAAGTTCTTTCCTTCTATTCTTGACTATGAAGGTGGGTTCTGTAACCCTATTACCCACCAGAAGATTTGAGCCTAGGATAAAATTGAAAATTGACTCACCCCTCTCGTTCGTGTCAGTGCTTCCCCACTGATGATAATGGGCGTTGGCATCACATCTTATGATCAGGTCGATGTTTTGCTTTCCGCTGTCTTTCACCAGCGGCTTAAGTAGCGGGTGCGGGGAAGGGCATACTGGACCATAAACGCCGAGCCCACCCTTAAAGATCCCTTTGGGCTCTTTATTTCTGCGGGTACGTTGTCTTCATTGCTGAAATCAGGCTCGCATTTTACCTGTTGTATCGGCTTTACAGAGCCCATACTCCGACGCCCGCAGCCCAAGAATCCTGTCTTCAAGCATCCATGGTTCCTAAATGAGGGCCACATCAGCTCCACTCTCGGCTAGGTGGAGTATGAGGAGTATTATCTGCAAGACTGTCAGAGAAATTCTTGAGATTCTTCACCACAGTAACTTCTGCCTCCGTCTTGATTATCAGCAGAGAGTCCTCTTCCATCCCGACGCCTCTAAGTGCCCTTGCCAAGTCGCTATCCTCTGAGATGTACCCTTCCACGATGTCCCCCTGCTCATCCGACATTCCTTCCGGGTGTTCCTCTTTGGTTCGGTCCTCGACGTCTGGCTCTTGTCCGTCTGCCTCCAGTTCGATACCTCCTGTTTGGTTCGATTAGCGATTTAGCGATTCTCCAGTGCTCCGTGGGAAGCGCCAGATTGCTCATTCTCAGCATTGCCAGGATAGTTTAAGGGTCGGCTGGCTTTTCTGTGAGCAGTACTCGCGCCCTCGGCTTGGGATGTACGCCCAGTCAACCACCACCAGCTTTGCCGCGGGTTAGATCTCTCTAAGCGGTGCTACCATTCGCTTGAAAGTCTCACCGATTGCGCGTCTTGGCCGGCAATTACCTTGACGCTACCCGGATACACCGTCTTCGCATTCTGATGGGGGTCCTCCGCTCTGTAGCATCTCACCCATGAAGCACCCATGCAACTCGTTTACCACTGGTCGCCAGAGGTACTTGGGGATGAGCCCATCTTTGAATCCCTTGTCCAGGACTCCAGTGATGGTTCTTCCCTTCTTTACCTCAGCGAACGACGGTTGGACGGCTGCGGCTGGACCTCCTTCTTCTTCACTTCGGAGGCTCCTCCTTTTTTTTATCTCTGTCTTTTCGCACCTTGCGCGATCTCTTTGGCAGGAATCGTTCCCAGCTTGCTTCTTAGGTTCCAACCTCACTCCTGCCTTTGCCAGTTGAAAGCCGGGCAGTATCTCCCTTGCCCACCTTATGATCTCGGCCTGGTCTGGGTTGTCTTCTGCCGATGGGTCCGCCCTCATCAGGATGAAGGCTGCTCTTCTCATGTCTTTGTAGGAGCCTTTCCGCCCCGTCGAGTGAGAAGCTACCGGACCAGGGTTCACCTTAGGGGCCCCGCTGGTTGGTATATAGGTTGACCCTGGGATCTTTCTCTCCACGCCGTTCGGTGGTCCCAGGGCTAGCCCCGCTTTAAAGGAAGATGCCTTGGCATCCTCCTCCGCACCGGCGCGTTCCGCCTCCGGATGTTGCCCCTCTGTAGGGAGCTTGTCCATTCCAGCAACTCCTTGGCTTTTAAGGGCCTTGGAGTTTGACGGGTCGTTGACGTTAGGGACTTACATACCTTCTCTGCTTTGGTTTGTATTTAAGATTTTATGTAGAATGCATGTTTTATACCCACGAATAGGCGGGAAAATAGTTTTGCAAGTCTTCGCAAAAACTCAAATAAATAAAAAATAACTCAAACTGTAAAAAAACATTCTACCGGTCATTAACGCTTAACAACGTAGATATTGATAATTCTTGGCCTGACAATTGATTATCGACTAACTTATAAACAACATTGTAATGAACTTCGGATTAATCTTAAAAATAGACTAAACACAATTTGTAAAATTAAATAAAAAAGTAATTTTAAGTGAATTAAATTTCTAACATCGAAGCGGAATTTTATATATCATTTCTCTCTAAAATAAGGTATTGTCTTCCTATATACGGCTATTGTGCGCTTTCCTACCTACAAAAAAAGGCGCCCCCATGACGCTGCATTGGTGTATTCCTTACTACCCTCATAATGTGCATTGCACTTTGCAGAAGCCGGATTCTCTGGATTCGAATCTGGATTCGCAAAATCCAGATTAGCTCAAACAACCCTATTCTCCTTAACGGCTAACAGCCTGCAAGAATCGAAGCAAGTACCTATCTTTATTAAATGATGCATACAGTTTAGCAAGAAGTGCAATACAGACAGAGCATATCTTTGGAATAAAATCAGTCCTTCGCCTCCGTAGAGACTAAGTCCTGGCAACATAGCTACCACTCTTCGTGATTATCAAGACTCTAATTCTATTGCATCCACTTTCAAGAAAACAGCTGTAAACAGACTTGGATCGATATTTGGACCCTACTTCTCAGTGCTAAAGCTGAAGTGGCAGCGTCAAAGCAATCCAATTTCCTCAAAACTCAAGGAAAAAAACCTGCTTTTCGAAATCAGCCCCTTCTGCATCCAAAATGTCAGTAATATTTATTAATTGACTTTCACTTAGTGTAGCGGTACTCTACTTTATATTAAAATATTTATTCACGATTGTAATTTATAGATTTTGAGTAGTGTCTTACAGGATTTCGTTCGTTCATATAATATTGAAATTATATTAAAAATGTAAAAGACCCTCAAATCTCAGAAATAAGCAACAATTCTAATTTTTGGTTTTTTTAGAAGAAATATTTGACACGCCGGAAGCTATTTGGTCTTCTTCTGATGGTACACATTTCATGTTTGCTACTTTCAATGATACTCTTGTTGGTTTGATGTCATATCCATGGCTTTCATCAGGAGCCTTATTTGGAAGCGGAATGGTTTCTGGAAGTTATTTTCCTGAAACGAAAAATGTTCGATATCCCACACCAGGAACCGTAAATCCAGAAGTACAGTTGAGGGCAGTTGACATTACAAACATAAAAAATATCCAGGAATTTCCCATTATACCGCCTGAATCTATTATTGGGCAGTAAGTATGCCAAATAAATATTTTGTCAATTTTTTAATCAAATGTTCCATAAGAACTTACATTTCTTTTTTATATTAGGGAATATTATCTCACATCAGCCGGCTGGGTATCAGATTCAAACGAAAAAGTTTCAGTAGTTTATATGGGACGTTCACAAAACTACAGTGTGATCGCAACATGCTCAAAAATGGATAATTGGAAATGTATAGAAGTAAGAAATATTATTAATCAAAAAATGTATTTTATGTATTTTGTATTGCTATATTCGCATATTGCCTGAATATTATTTTTATGTCATATTCGGATATGATCATTATCGCTACTTTATCAGTCTGCACTTTCTCGCGGGCATTTAGTTTCTGTGCATTTGATCAGCCACTGGCACCGACGTTCTTACATAAGTGGTTTTTATTATGTCGCGAGGTTGGTCACGGGATCTCCACGAGTTAAACCGCAACGGTTTTTTTCGGCAATACCGCAACATCTTGCCATCAGGTATTTTTCCTGGTGGACCCACATTTTTATAAGCAGGGGATACTTATTTAAAACGCTTAATATAACCCTTTTATAGCACCCTTTTTTTTTATTTAATTATATTTTATTAAGCACTCTTTTTATAAACCTCCTCCCACTTTTACCATACCTGAGAATCGCTTAAGTATTCGTTCACATTATGAATTATACATATGTATGTACGTTACACTAGTTCTTAATTAGCATAAAACGAAACAGATCTCAGACCGAAGAATTTAAAACAAATTTAGGTATCTTATAACTCAGGAACAATTCGAAATTGGTAACTTATAGCCAAGATAATCTTTCGTATCATGCAATGATACAGACGTGCATCGAGACTTCCTCGGCAAGAAGACCACGAGGGTAAGACAATGGAGCACCAAGTAAACAATAACCCATAACGGATTAACATTACGTTTTTAGAATGTTATTGTGCTATGTTATTAGTATAAAATAACGGAATTATTAATTATTATTAAATTAACACTAAGAATTATTAACCAATATTCGACTAATATCAATTCCACGTGAGTTCTTATTCCTTTCTTCCTTTTATCATTCTTTTATACTTTAACTCCTAACACAAAGTAGCAATACAGGTGCTACTTGGAATTCCGTAGACTGACTCAACCCATCTCTAATAATCCAATATCATATTAAAAACCATTGTAGATCTTATTTGCCCCTAACTCTTAATACCTAAAATCCCCTTTATCTTTAATGGATCGTAACAACTTTATGTAGGCAAAAGTAATATTTTTAAAATACATTTAAGATTTCTACATTACTTTATAATTACATCAAGCTTCAATGGTTCATATTGGCCATTATTATTGGCAAAGTGATTTCACAATATAAGTAATTTATATGCAGTCAATCTATATATGAATATAAAGCCTAGTAATCTGACGACAAAAATCCGCTTTCACACGTGTTACAGCGGTCCAACTTTAATAAAAAAAACCGTGTGAAAAAAGGAAGAAGAAGAAATTTGTGCCTCCTAGATTTGGCCGGTACTCTGACGACGAAAATGATGGCTATCAAATTGAATGGCATTGCCGGATCAAAAAAAGTAAACAGCTGATCTCGGGGTAAAAAAATAATTCATTTGATTTATTTTGACACCCAAAACATGGAGCGAAAATTGAAAAAAAAATATTAGAGAGAGAGAGAGAAAGAAAGAGAACAGCTGTTCAGTATTACCCTTTTCCTTAATTTTTTTGGTCACAATAGCTCGGTAGCCAAATAAAGAGAGATTTCGCTAGCACACGTGTAATAGCGGATTTTCGACCAGAGTACTAGGCTTAAAACAATGTCGTGTTTTTTTACACTACTGATAAATCAAGAACGGTAGAACAGAGTTGAGTGAAAATTGGTAGGGAGGTAGCTTTAAGCCAGGAGACGGACATAGGATACTTTTTATCCCGTTCGGCAGCGGGAATTATACTCCTCCGAAATGGCTTCACTTATAGTAACAAATAACAGTTAGCGTAACGTATCATAAATTTATGTGTGTGTCATATGCCCCTGAAATAGGGCCCTGCCGACCACTTATCTACAGTCAGCAAATCCAAGAAAACGCAATTGGGCCAATTTGAGTAGTCGAACGGTCAATTCTAGAGCCGCGGAGATAGAAAAGCACGAAGATCAGGAGAAGAAATTAAAGAAGATAATGAAAATGCGCATGTGAGCATGGAACGACAACTGCAACGAAAAGAAGCGCACAGATTCATATTTAGAAGAAGAATTAAACAACAATGCCAACAAGTTCATCAAGGATTTACATTAGGGCCATTTCTTCCACTAGCATTCTAGTACGAGCCTGATGTTGAATGTTCTGCTTATTCCAAAGTGATTATTAGTACTCTGAAAAAAGTGTACTTGTGTTGCTCATCAGAAAAAGTACAACTACCCGAAATTGAAACACCACCAAGGTGTGGTGCGCCGTTGCGCAGCATACTTCTCGGTACAGATCCAGATTCTACCCTGTTCCATGAAGTCAATTCGTACATTCAATTAATGCTTCCAAATGACATCGTTTTTTACTTATCACAGATATGAATCTGGAACAACAGTACGATACTGTGAAAATGAGAGGCATTGTTAGTCGCAATATTCCACTACTTATGACGAACAAAAAATTATTTACGACCGCATTATGCTCGCAGCATGCGGCAGGACAAGGAGGATTTTTTTGATGCACCATGTGGAATTTCGATTAAAAAAATGGCATCATTTTGGCTATTGCATCTTCTGACATTGCAGCAACTTTACTAGATGAAGGCAGAACAGCCCATTAAGCTGCCATTTAACATTCAAAATAATCCACATGCAGCGTGCGACATAAAAAAACAATCGTCTATGGGAATAGTGCTGAAACAATTTAAAATAATTATTTTGGATGGATTATTTTTTTTTTTACACTGGATTGGACATTTAGGGATATAAAAAACAATGATAAACTATTTGGCGGCTCTTTGTTACTCCTTTTAGGTGATTACAGACAAACTCTTCCCGTTATTCCACGTTCAACGTACGCAGATTAAATAAAGATTGCTTCTTCGGGATCCATCCTCCGAAATTTTCTCTAAACAGCTGTTAGATATTGGCGATGCGAAAGTTGCTGTACGTGAAAATACTGAAAACTGAAAATATAATAAAACATGGAAACATTTTCTAAACAAAATAAATGAAAAAAAAAAACATTTATGTAAATCTGGAAAATTAATTGATGATTATTAAGCCTGTTGCACAATGGCTTAAGACCCACGAAATGAGCCAGCAAAGTTTTTCCATTTTCCATTTTCCATTTTCCCAAGCAGGGGGTAACTTTCGATGGTAGTCCTGAACAGTGAGAAGACGTCACACCGTTCTGCGTATGTGCCAATGAATGTGGGATGAGGCTGTTTGTGTTTTCGGCTTGGAGTACACAATCGATGGTGCACTGGCGCCCTCAGCAGTGTAGAATGCGTCGCCAAAAGAGTGGAGCGATTTGCTCCAAAAACTACAATATCTTAGTGGACAGTCGTGTGAATTTCCAGAACAACGGGCTGCCGAATTCCTCATGACTGTGTTTTTCCAATTCATCATGAATAACTAAGAATTTGCCTGGCAAGCAATACACGAGGATGCAACTCTTCCAATTCCATGTATACAGTTGCAGCCTTCTTTTTCAAATAAAGTTCCCTTGTGGAAGCGTCTATAGCGCTAGCCCCAGCCCACTGCAATAACTTACACGGAGCTTGTGGCTAAATCTTGCGTAGACATATGTGCACCAAGTAAAAACGAGTGTTTAAGCACATGCAACTGCAACTACCGGTAGCGCGGATCATGTCGGGGTCATGAAATGTTAGTTGCCAAGCGCTTTCAACAGCCCCGAATTAGTAAATAAATAATAAACTTGGCAATTCCAGATATTACTCAAAACAATTTGGCTTCTATAGGACAGATATTGCTGAACAACTGCCTCTCAAAACTGGAGTACTGCTATTCGTTTAATTTGTCGAACAGTACTTTACTATATATATATATATACATCTATAAAAGCGTCAGGTAAAGAGAATGCCACAGTTTAAAATGTGGCCTAGTGAAATTTAATAATTTACTTCTCTAACGTATGGGAATGGCAAGAGCAAAGGTCCGTGGCCGGGAAAAGCACGGACGGCGACCCGCCAACGGAAAAGTGGCGTGATTTTGGAGGCAGGATTAACGGCAGGGACAGAATCTAGGAAGATTAACGGGCGCTTCAATCAGTATATAAGGAGGCCCATTGAAGCGAATCGGGACGAGTCTTTTTTGGAAGCTTGTAGCGTTGAGATGGAGGACCGCCTTTGTAGAGTCCAACAGCCCAAAGAGAGGAGATCGTAAAGAACGAGCTAGGAAAGGATCCGTTGCAGGACGGTCTCGTTCGGGCGAGACCGACAGACTCATAGAGAGCTAGAGCCAGAGCTTGGCGGTACCGGAGCCAAGAGTAGGAAGGAGTATAGACTGGACATAAACACGATCCGGAAGGCTATGCCAGAGCTGCTGCAGGGCAGGGCTTAAAGATAGACGAAGAGTGGCCAACTGGCGTAGTCCTGCAAAACAAGGATAGGCCGATTTGCGAACTCACGCCCAATTAGAGACCAATCCAGAACACCCCGGCAACCAGCCATGCGTCTCCCAACTCCGGACTCGCTAGCGCGTATTCGCGGTGTATCCCCGGTGTAGTAAGTGCGCGACGCACGGTCATCGATGGCAACTTCCAATCCTGGCACGCTTGCGCGTATTCGCGGTGTTCCCAGGTGTAGTAGGGGGCGAGAGAGCCACTGGCAACTCCCAATCCTGGCTTGGTAGCGCGTATGTGCGGTGATCCCAGGTATAGTGGGGGCGACAACCACAGCCAAATCCCAAACCTGGCACTGCGCGGTGTCCAGGTGTAGCGGGGGCGTCAGTCCGCAGCCAACTCCCGTTCTAGACCCGCTAGCGCGTATGCGCGGTGGATCCCTGGAGCATCGGAGGTGTGAAAGTCGGCGACCAACTCCCAATCCAGGCTCGCTAGCGCGTATGCACGGTGTTTCCCTGGTGTAGCGGAGCGGAACAGCGAAGCTTAGTCTTTGATCAGTCGCAGACGACCCAAGGGACTGTTCCGAAAGGTAGGAAGGCCCGCGTGTGGCCAGCGAAAGGGCGACGGTTAGGGGAATCTAAGGCAACGCA